ATATAAGAATTTGGAAGCAACAGAGATGTGATTTCTGAGACGAATGGTATGAATACTTTGGACGGCCAGAGTAACTAACAACGCTTGCTTGAAAGAAGCTAATGAAATTAGATCTCTATATACAACAATAAGAAAGCGACAAACACTGTTCTTTGGTCACATAATGAGAAAAGAGACACTGGAGAACATCATGACAACAGGAAAGATCAGCGGAAAAAGGGGTAGAGGCAGACCAAGAGAGATGATGCTGGATGGGCTGAAACGATGGCATGGAGGGATATCAGGCAACCAGGGATCATGATCTGTGGAGATGCATGAGTGCCTACGCCAGTTGGCAGGGCACATGATGATGATGAGTCTGCTCGTTCTTTTTTCCTTAAATGTTGCAGTAGCCTGGAATCCACAGGAGCACAACAAGTGAAATCTTAAAATTTAACAACTTCAGAAAATAAAAAAACGATAAGCATACTTGGTCCATTCAAAGTGTAATGATGAAGGTTTGTAAGTATGGGTTTTAACAACAATACAGAAGGGCATCACTTTATGACACACAAAATTACACAAATTATAACTCTCAGCTACTTTCAGTATACCAATAAATATTGTTTTATTGAGTTCTCTTGGCAGGCTTTTCTCTCTTTTGTTTTACTAAGTAAAAATAAAGGACTCTCTCTTCATACCTCCAGGTGTGCTGGGCAAATAGGGCTAGACCTATATTTTACAGACCAATGAGTACTGGGTGGGTGATGTGGTCAGCATCACGACAGCCACTTTTACTTCCCATGGCTTTAACTGAGTACACTTAGGTGTGGGTTAACTTGTTGGCAGCCAAAGTCATTTTTTTTTAAAGTCTGGCTTTGTTCAGATTTGAACCCATGACCTTAAGATCTGCAGGCAGGTGTCTAGACTCTACACCATGGCGCCGGCTCTTTTTTGTTGTTTTTTCTGCAAACATGACAGAGAGGAAAACCCATTTTGGACAAGACATTCTGAAAACCAGTTATGAATGAAAGCTGGTGGAAGATACAGTGTTAGATGAAACAGCATGTGTAAGGTTGCATGAATTCTGAACTGGAATATGTGGAAACAGCAAGAAAGGACATATGAGAGGAATAGTCTGATGTGTGTACACCCAAAGTGACACTGGAACAGTCAGCATCTTCACTAAAAGACACGTGCTGCGAAAGGTATGCCCAGGACGCTTTAATGATGATTCTTAAATCAGTGACCTCAACCGATAATCAACTAGAACAGTGATACCCAAATTGTGCGCCAAACTGACATTTTCACAGGGGCACAGCAAAATATCTGAAGTAACACGTGTTCTATTTTATTTGTTTTTAAATCTCGTAAATCTAAGTCATACATTTACTTAGGTTATACATCCTAACATAACTTTCATTTTAAAATTAGTCAACTAGTATATATATGACTGGCACCTTTTCGTCTTTCCAGTCAATAGTGTTATGCTGTGCTATGAGGAGGCATCGGACTCACAGCCCATGGTGATGGTGAGTGTAACTAGCAAGATCCGCCCAGGTTTATAAAAGTCTTCCACAATTATACCATAGGGTTTTATGGAACCATTGTGTCAACATGTGTGTTTAGTCTCTTTTCAGACACTCAGCTTTCCTCCTTACTGCAAACATTTCATTCTCGTTTCCTTCCTGATGTCTGATGTGCCCCTTCCAGACAACACAGTCTGTGGCATTAAGTTCCCATGAGTCCACCTAAATAGCGGTATCATTCTTGTCCCATTTACACACATCTTTATATTGTGTATATGTGTGTGTGTGTGTGTATATACATACACACACACACACACATATATATATATGAGAAAAAATTAATGAGAACAAACAGAAACATATATACAATTATTTGCACCATGCAATGATAATTATTCAAAAGAGCAAAAAGACCAATTCTTTGACATCATCGGAGTGAAAAAGTTATATAGTTAAATAGAAGCATAGTTAGAATAAATCAGGAAATAATCGTTCACAGTAACATCAGGAGTGAGAAAGGGATGGGATAAATTAGATGAAGAAATTAACATTTGATGCAGTAAAGCAAATGAAATATTGGGACAGCTGGCCCCCTCTTACAGTACAGAACAATCCCAATCAGCACAAAGAACATCTCATGCAAAGCATGTTCATTCCCACCTTATGCTTCCAGTGCAAGGCACGGTCACTCACAACAAACCAGAAACAAAAAATGGTAACCATGGAAATGAGATGTCTGATGAGAAGGACTGTAAGAGTGACCAGAAGTGATAAAATCCGGAATGAGATTATAAGAGAAAATGGCAGCACAGAACCAATTCTAAATTACAAATACACCCAACCAAATGTTTTGTGCACTTAGAATGCCTTGCGACGCCACACCCTACAAGGCATACACTAACAGAGGAGAAGGACACTGATCACTAAGTAGACTAAGAACAAGAAGAAAAGACAACATCAGAGAAACCCTAAAACATCACAATAGGTCTATGGTCAAAGAGGTCAGAAAAGCAAGAAGCAGAACCTTATATCTCCCTCACCATCCAAAGCGGTAAAAGAGGAAGTGATGCAGAAGATATATCAAAAGAACTGACACTGTTGTTCAAAATATTGATAATTAAGTTGTGCCAAATATTTTTCTCCACACACAAAAACACATGGTAGGATGCAAGTGAAAAATGATGTACATGAGATAACAGGTAAAGTAGTACCAGGGCAGTTAATGCCACTGAGACGTGAAGTGCTAGGCCTTCTCATGCTCTGGGCTATGACTTATAAGGTAGAGTCACCAGTTCTCTTCCATTTTGCTATTTCTTCCCAGCAAATTCTGAAAACTGGACTTGTACCCTTTTTTTAAGTTGGGCCGACTTATGATCTGTGAAAAAAATAACACTGTCTTTGCTGATTATTTATCAGGAGCAGCTGGCCAAATGGTTAAGAATGCAAGGGCTCTCATCTTGAAGACCGGCATTCAAATCCTCAATAAGGCTGGGAGATTATTTATGTGAGAGGGGGGGGGGGGGAGGACCAAAACCCGCATAGTCCATGCGGATAACATTAGGTGTGCGGTCATAAATCAACAGACTTAAAGACCCCTCTGTCTACATTGCAGAGGTGGCAAACACAGGCAGTAATGTCAGTTTTTTTATTTTATTTACCACCTTTAAGGCAGTGTAGGGCGAGAAGGGGGTCGAGAGGCTGCAACCCTCACCAAGGATCAAATCAGAGTCTCCAGCATAAAAGCCCCGTGCTCCAACTACTTGGCAAGCTACTCCTCCCTCATGAGTTTTACTGGTTTGGGGAAGGGGGAGGAGGGAAGCTTGCCTCTGGTCCACAAAGTGAATCACTGTCTCAGCAGGTAAACACACTAATTACCATGCCCCTGGTCCACAAAGTGAATCACTGTCTCAGCAGGTAAGCACACTAATTACTTTGTCCCTGGTCCACAAAGTGAACCACTGTTTCAGCAGGTAGGCACACTAATTACTATGTCCCTGGTCCACAATGTGAATCACTGTCTCAGCAGGTAAGCACACTAATTACTATGTCCCTGGTCCACAATGTGAATCACTGTCTCAGAAGGTAAGCACACTAATTAATATGCCACTGTGGCACACACACAAACATTCATGCTATATGCTTGTCAGGTCCCATCATCTTCATTATTTACCTCTATATGAAGGCTGGGAGACCGTTATTTGGGGGAGTGGGTCAATATTTACAATTGTTTAATATGGGACAGGTTATTTAATTTACTTAGTTACCAAGATGGAGTAATCATTGTTCGCTGATTCAGTGAAGGTTAAAATGTGTTTCAGTGTGTTTTTAACACCAGCGTGTTTAAGTAAGGATAAACCTACGATAGGTCCAGCAAACCGGTAGGGAATTTATTTGTTTAACTGATACTGCTCGAGAACTATGGGGAAAATTAAAGGAAACGAGTAATTCTATCAGCGCTGTGAAGACCGTAAACACACAAAATGCACAGAAAAAGCGAACAACAACGCCTACAGCTAAACATGGATTGATGACACTAAAGAGATTCTACACTGACACAGAATGACAATGGCCATTGCTGCCCATCAAACAATGGATTGCAAACTGTTCCTGACAATGCTTAATGGCAGAAATGGAAATTGATGATAATGATTTAATTTTATTCTGTTCTGTTCTTTTTCCTAGTTATAATTATGAAATATTTCTACATTTTTAAAGCCAATATAATTCTGAAAACTACAAAACAATAAACCCTTAACCTTAAACAGTAAACTAAAACATTCAGAAAACAAGCTGGTATTAAAATATCATACCCTTTAATATCATCAGACGAATATGTCTGACAGTCAAGCTTCTTTCACAAACCCACTCAAAAGAGAACAATCTGACATCAAAACCAAGAATAGTCAAAGGATGTTGATATACACAGGGCATAATAACTTTCTGAGAAATCCTTACTGGCAATATAATTTCACAATTTATTATTTTAATTTCACAAAGATTTCCATCTGGTGGTCACACGTCAGTCACAAACGCATTCAGTTTTGATCTCAGCCTTTGTCCAAAACCCACTCACAGAGAGACAAATCTAGTACCAAAACCTTACATCTTTAAAGTTACAAAATGACCTGATACACTGGTACATACTATTTTTTCAAAAACATACTGGCAATACAACTTGAATCTTCCTGATTTTAATTCCACAAAAAATAGGTTTTTGGTGATTATGCATCTCTTACCAGCTTGCATTTCTCTTTTTCACTCAGTAAAAGTAAAGGACCTTTTTGCCACACCTTTAGGCATATTTGGAAAATAGGGCTAGACCTATATTTTATAGTCCAATTGGCACTGGGTGGGTGAAGTGGTCAGTGTCAAACCAACTCAACCTAAACACTAGCTTTTATGACAAACTCACTGACAGACATAAACATCTAAAACCATCCCCTTGCATCTAAGGTGAACAAATACTTATTTATACTACTTTACAAAAACACATTAACGACAATACAACTGTAAACGAGGAGCACAAGGATTGGATGGGTTGAACACCAATGGCTGGTTGGCTGGGTACACCTTTCCATGTTGGGCAGGACCCTGGCCAGGAATCTGTGGTCCTGGCTGGGACTGGGGCATCTGCTGTGAGAGCTTTCCTTGCATGCTGTTGGCTGGCATGGGATCATCAAAGGGATTGTGAGCCACGATGTTGGAAGCACTGGTAGAAACAGGTGGTGGTGATGGGCCTGGTAAAAGTTCTGCAAGTGTGTTCTTTTGCTGAAAGACATGACAAGATATGGTAGGTAACATTTAAAAGATTATGAAAATAGATGTGTACAATATTTCATATGTTATCAAATGCTGTCATTCAACTTTTTTCTGTGTGCAGTTTTTATCTCTCTGTTATGTTAACTTATTTGGAATCTGCAGAGATGTGATTTTATAGATGAATGATGAGACAACCCTGGACAGATAAAAAAGAGTAACGAAGACGTCTTTAAAGAAACCGGCTAACGAAGAGAACTGATTGCCCACATCAGAAAGAGATAAACTACATTCTTTGGTCATGTGCTGAGGAGAAACCTGAACTACACTGTGACAGAAGGAAAGCTGGAGGGGAATATAGGCAGAGGTAGACTGAGAGAAAATATGTTGGACAGTTTGAAATCATGGCATGGAGAATCATTTGTGTAAGAACTGATTGAAAGTACACGAGACAGAAGGTTGTGGATAGAAATGACTACCAACGCCACATGGCATGGACTTTAAGAATAAGTTATCGGCCATTCTTCATGTCCCAATCATTGCAGTCTATAAGTCCACATAATGCCAGTTGTTGCCGGCACCTTTCTGTCTTTCCAGATGACTGTGTTATATTGTACAATGAGGAGGCATGTGACTCACACCTCAAGGCAACGGCAAGTGTGACTAGCAAGACCCGCCCATGTTCAGCAAAATCTTCCACAATTAGAATATGGGATTTCAGGAAAAGTTGCTGCCATCATATGTATTTACTGTACTACTTCTCAGATGCTCAGCTCCCATCCTTTCTGGAATCATTTCTTCCTTCATTCTTATTCCCTTCCTGATTTGCTCCCCCACACAACATGGTCCATGGCATTTTGTTCCTATGTGTCTACCTCAATACCTGTATCATTTATGTCCCACTTGCATAATCTTTATATCATAGCAGAGGCAGACCTCTACATCTTCTCCCCATCCGTAATTCCCGACTGCCAGTAATTAACAGTGATTTAAACAGTCTAAAATTTACATGGAAGCTTAAAGGCTGCCAGCACGATATTCATCCCATCACCTACCAAGCTCCTCAGAATAAAAACATATACATCTAGCAGCATACGCCTATAGGCATGAAACTGAGACCTTTACTTTTTTTTTTAAATTGTAGTTCCCACTACCATAAAACTTAAATAAAAATATAGAGAATTCTTTTACAATCATCACTGTGCATTATATTATCAACTAATGCTGGGTGAATTGTAACACCATTAAGTGGTGAAAGTATCTTCAGGTTGTTCATGCCCAGTGTTAACTCCTCCTTGGAAATGTTTTGCAAAATCTGATGGCACTAATAACAGAGTTAAAGAGTATTTTACACAAATATAAGATAACAACAAAAAATTATAACACTTACATTTTCATATGATGTCTAGCTAGTATAAATTGTGGTAGTATTAGTAAAGTCACTATTTGTAAGAAGTTTTTATAGTCTATGCCCAATTCAGGGATCTCTATGTGCTAAGTGGTTAGGCCACAGCTGTAAAGGTTGTAGGTCTAATCCCTGAGAGTTTGTGCTTTGTGCAATGCTCTCACAGGCATACCCCATATGACAGACAGCGGCCGAGCTAGGGGATACAATTCAAGACTATTTGGTCAATCCTCACTTAAAAATAGCATCCTTAAAATTAGTAGACACCACACAAGCAATGTTGATCTACTTCCTCAGCCTCTGATTCCGATGCCTAGAGATTTACTGTTGCAGAGATATCACCAGCCTCTATTTATGTGACTAGCCTTCTCTTTCTAGTTTGTGACTCAAAGTGTTTGTAGTCCTACCTGTATAAAATCTCACCGCCTGTGGTCAAATGGTCTGCTCAGACTGAATTGAAACATTTTTTTTAAGAATAGTACTTTTTTGGGGCTGGGGGGCGTGTGGGGTATTTCTGTTATCTGTCATGCTCTCTATATGCCACAGCTCCCCCTGCTTAAATTCAGACTTTATTTCATTTTTATATTGGCTATCTTCCAAATAATGGTCCCAAATTATCTAGGCCGAAAATATACCTCAACAGGGCCTCAGTCACATGTAAATTGCGGACTTCTGGTGACTTAAATTGCCTACTTCCGGCAACTACCACCACAGCCGAAAGTATCACTCACGTCGCTACGCGCGGCGTGGATTGGGGCTAAAAGTCACTGCCGAGAGTTTCCCCCACGCGACTATACAGGGCGCGGGGCTTAACGAGATGGCTGGGACTCACAAGCATCAGCTACCGCATCTCCTGCAGCTTGCTCCATTTCATTTGCTCGTGAGTCCCAGCCATCCTGTTTAGCCCCATTCTGCGCCGTGGGAGATAGTCTCGACGGTGGCGGTTTAGTCGCCGGAAAGAGGTCCACAATTTACATGTGACTGAGGCCCTGTTATGGTATATTTTTCGCTTCGACAATTTGGGACCTTTATTGATTTTATTCGGAGGATAGCCTTATTATAATATAAAAATGTGGCTCTCCTCCGAACTTCTACCCCGGCATTAGGGCCTCAATCGTGTGTAAAATGTGGACTTTTCGCCAAGGAATAAATCGTGGTAAAACTACAATCGGCTCCGAATAACGAAACAAATGCTCTAACAGGGTCTCATCGATATGTTAATTGCGGACCTGTTTCTGCGACTATGCCATACCGCTGACAGTATCCCCGCGCCGCTGCGCGCGGCGCGGATAGGGGCTAAAGTAGATGGCTGAGACTTACGAGCAGCAGCTACCGCATCTCCTACTACTTCCTCTAATCTATTTGCTTGTGAGTCCCAGGCATCTAGTTTAGATCCCCATCCACGTCGCGCGTAGCGGCGTGGGGATACTGTCAGCGGTGAGTTTAACTGCGTTTTGCGCATGCCGAAAAGTGTGAGGACAACATTGACGCTAATCTGCGTCGGAGCGAATGGTCTGCACGCCATGTGGCTATTATCGTCTGTAATGTTGCGTGTCTTGAAATTGTCAATGGTCGCTATTATCATCTGCTAGTACCGTCTGCTAGTATTGTCTGTAGAAACGTTTGAAATTGTCAACGGTCGCTATTATCATCTGGTACTATCGTCTGCAGTGTTGCGTCTCTTGAAATTGTCAAGTAATCCTAGTTTTGCCACAATTTGTTCCTTGGCAGAAAATCTGCCCTGTTAAGCTGAGGCCCTGTTAAGCTATTATTATTTGCTTGGCCGCCATAATGCCGCGGTAGAAGTTCGGAGGAGAGACAAAAATTAAATTTTTTTTAAACAATATTATTGAAAATGTTGAGTCCTGAGCTAAGAAGAGATATCATTGCACTCGGGACATTTTTTTAAATCGTTTTATCTTCATCTTCAGCAGCCTAGACTCTGAGACTCGAAGAGTTCCGATATAAAATTATAAAAAATTCAAAAACATACCATACCTGACTTGAGGACGACTTTTTGTCATCCATAACTGGAATTCTCATACTACTTTTGCAACAGATCTAAACTGATTAGATCTTTTCTCTGTGTATAAATGTTAAATGCCCCTGACAATTTGATTACTTCATATGTGGCTCTTGGTGGAAAGAATCGGTTTTCCTAAATAATAAATAGTTAGTTAGGTATTCACATCAACTTGTTTTGAGCAGACCCAGGAAAACCAGATAGAGTTACCTACCCTGAATCTCTGTTGCCAGTTTAGATTGTTCGAATCAATGGCGTTTTTTCGTATTCGTTATATTTATATTCTGTTTTCAGTTTTATCTGTTTCGTATACACACAGTTTATTCATAATGTTTTATTATTTATTACATTTACAGTTTTTTCTCCTTTTTACGTATGCTTTGCTTGAACTGTTATCTCCAATTGAGCATTGGCTATCAGCGATTTCATATATCCATACCTCTGAGATTGCAGGAGTAAAACTAAAAGTTAAAAGTTAATGAAAGAGCCCACTAACTGACGAGGAATGTATTACAAATTAATGCACAAAAAAAAAAAACATAGACAAAGCTGATATTAACAATGTTGTACAGACTAGTGATAATGATGAATCGCTAACGCTAACACGATTGCGTGACCTGTGAGTACAATTTGGTGAAGCACGTCTGTGTCGTATTCGGTAGGAAGACCATAAGTCCCGTTTTCGCCAGGACAGTTTTTTTCCCCCCGACATTAAAATGGAAAAAAAAGTGATTAAAGACGCCCAAGAGAAACCCCAAATCGAACGTCGATGAGAGAGGTCAAAGCTGCGACCGGATTCCATCCATTATATTGAAACAGATGGCACAGAATAGAACGGGATGGAGGAATAGACTGCGAGCCCTATGTGGCATATAATGACACAAGAGGATGATGAATGCAAGAATAAATATGATGGACATGTTATTGCTATGAGGAGACATTTTAAAAACTGAGTGAGGGTTGGGAAAACCGTGTGTGGGAAACAACTAGAGAGAAATTATAAAGCTAAATACGATAAAGGGATTTTGTTTTTTAAATGAATGAAAACAATTATAACCATAACTACTAAGGGCTAAGAGTAATGAAAAATGTTTTTTGTTTCGAATTTTATCAAATTTATGTACACATTTTGTATATGTCTTTTTCGTATAACACATTGTTGAAATAATTAGTTTAAAATAATACAGATGCACATCTGGAAAACTGCGAGCTGCCAATGTTCTGATCTATAACAATGTCAATGTAAGTTACGCAATATGCAGGATGCGCCATTAGCCTGCCCGTTTTCTGTTTTGTGCCGCCGGTCGTCGCAGTTGAACAGATGATTCGTTTCCTAGCTAGGTCATGCTTAGTTGCCCGGCATGATGTGATGTGGAATCTCAGTTTATCAGTGACTCCATTAATCAATCTCTTATTTGTTGTCCCCTACCTCTTGATTGTTCTACTTTCGTGTAATTCGCTCTCATTGATGACATTATTGGATTCATTCTCATTAAATGGCTAAACCATTTCAGTCTTTAGTTTTCAATGAATTTAATTGTAGTTGTTATTCCACCATATTTGTAATTTCTTCGTTTCTCGCATAGTGTCTTATAGTTTTGTTGACGGCCTTTCTCAAACATCTCATTTCGTAGGTGGTTAGTTTTCTTTCGTGTTCTTTAGTCACTATCCAAGTCTGACACTGACAGCACAAGGTCGATATGAAGACTGCATTTATAATTCATATTTTTACCTCTGTTTCTTACTGGGATCAGTTGAAACATGATAGTGCTTGCTTGTTGGATTCTTGATTCAATCTCTCTGTCCGTTCTGCCATATGCAATTATGCTCCCCGAATATTTAAAATGTTGAACTTTGTTTTTAAACTTTGATTATTAATATATATGTCGATTGTTTGATGTTATCTTGCTATACCCGTGATTTTTCAATGTTTTATAACAGAGTAAGATGACATCTTGATGACTTCACTATAGGAGAAGGTCAGTCATTGGCTGGTAAATTGGGTTGCAGCTCTCCTGTATTCACGTCGGGTTGCTTTCCGACTGGGCTCATGGACCTCAGAATCATGCAGTTTGGCCACAGTGATTAGCCATCTCGCCTGTGCTCTTTAACGTGTATACAAACAAGATTAAAAGCCTAGAAGCACCAGGAGTTGGAAGGATACTGACTTTTGCAGATAATATTCTTGCATTTAGACAGGGGGAAGAGGGGAACAAACAGCCCAGGAGCTACAAGGAACAGTAGACAGGGTGACTGAGTGGTGTACATAAGCCGGGAAAACCAGTCTTACCGCCCTCTTAAATGTTGGACTTTTCTGTGACGTCATCTGGGAGTAGGCTAATAATAAAGTACCGTTAAAATGTTCTGAATATAAAAGTTCATTAATTATTACCATTCCACTAAGGACTTTTCCAAAGATAAAATGTTTGCCATCCAGCCATCTTGCCGGGCGAAGTATGATGTAGAACTCTGAGCCAGTCGTGTTAGGGCCGAAGTCAGCTCTGCCCAACCAACCAGCGTGGTTGTGACTTATCGAGTTCTCTTCTCGAGAGCTGTCGACCATCCGGAAAAGGCGTCTGTTTTGTGGTGTACTTTGGACAACAGGCTTGTTAGAGCTAATATTTCAAGTCTCACGTTAGATTGTAGAAACGTCAACAGAGAGAGCAAACGGAAGTATCTGGGAATTACATTTGACAGGAGCTTGTCCTTTAAGGATCACGTGGGGAGTGTTTTGACAAGATGCAAAAAATGACTTAGTGCACTTAAGACTATGGCTGCTATTGACATAAAGTAGAGAATGCTTTTCACATTATATCAGCACCGGATCCTGTCAGTGGTTGATTATGGCCTGGGGCTGCTTACCGTCTCAAAGAGTCAGATGGACAAACTAGAGCCTATACAGAACGCAGCTATGCGGGTCATTCTGGGTTGCACCAGAGACACCCCAGTGGTATGTATGCGATACACCCTTGGTTTGCCGACTGTTGCAGATAGACACAAGGTGCTACAGGCGAAGACATATTTCAAGGAAGCTGCAGACACAGATCACCTTTGGAACGAAGTTCTAGGCACAGTTAAGGGTCAGCGGCTGATAAGAAGGAAGTCATGGATGGCTCAGGCAGAAGACACAATCAGACAGGTTTGCATCCTTGAGAACATTAGGCGAGGAGATAAGTGGGTCAAAGTGCCAGCTGAACAGTCAGACTTGTGTAGGGTCATAATCCCAAATGAGCCGGGAATGCAGAGACTGGCCAGCAGGTGCCACAGAGGTGGAAATTCAGCAATTAATTCAAAATAATGCTCGCTCAGAGGATTTGGTTATTTACACAGACGGCCCAATGTCAAGAGGCAAAAGAAGTGCTTGGTGTTTCTTAGCAAATGTTAATGGTCGACGTTTGGTGCAGGAGAGCCTAGCATATGATACCACAACATCCAGCTTAAGAATGGAGGTGAAGGCGGTCACTGCAGCTTTCCGCTGGTTAGAGAACACACACACACACACACACACACACACACACACACACACACGCACACACACACACATAGTGATTGTAACTGACTCAGAACGCATGCTGAGTAAGGTGAGGACAGGCATGCTTCGTGCAGAGTGGCATGCTTCACTGCGGAGGATACGGGTAAAGAGTACTGTCTGGATTTTTTCACCGTGATACGCCGGTGGGTTGGGAAATGAACAGGCGGACAGACTGGCTGGCTCTGGACAACTTAGTGGCATACTGATGCATGATAAGGCAGACGTGGTTAGTGTCTTATGGGAGAGCGTGTACAGTTCGGAGGAGCAGATGGATCACCACAGTCTGGTGAGATTGATGCAGCGGGGAGTGACGAGAGGTTCTGGCAGATGCTCGAGGCTCAGAGGAAAGGCAAGACGGACGTTTAATCAGAATGCTACTGGCACCATAAGTATTGGGACTCTTCCCCGTCTGCTGAAGATAGGGATGGGGCTCTTATGTGAATGCCCCAAGTGATGAGATGTCGGTTCTAGAATCAACTCAAAATTGTTTTTGTTTTTTTAAATATTATGTTTGAGACAGCTGTCGTGTAGTTGGTTTATGTTGTCATGTAGCTGCTTAACTTGACTGTGCATTGGTCTTCGGCGAACGAATAATTCTTTGACATTTTTCTGTTCATCCTCAGTTGGTGACATCTTGTTGATACTTACTGTCCACGAACATGATAAAATGCAAAAGTGCTAAAGCACATCCTTGTCTTTCTCCTGGTGTTGCTTAAAACAAGTCTGTAAGACCAGCTCTTGTTCTGACGGCACTTTTACTTTCTCCATTGATGGCTCTTGGACACTCAAAGTAATTCTCTGTTTACTCTATCAAAAGCCTTATCTGGATCTATAAAGACAACAATCCTTTGGTGTCTGTGTTCTATTGTCCTTTCGCTGGTTTGTATTAAAGCAAATATAGCATCGATAGACCCTCTTCATCTTCTGAATCAACGTACTAGACTTAGATTATGTTCCATGATGGCCGTTTCTTAACTTAATTCTTCTTCTTTTCTGTACTCCTGGAATGCCTCGCCTCGTTAGGGCATGAAGAGATTTGAGTTAAGTTTCATCAGAATTGACATCACAGCACTCGAGCATTCCCATGCATGCTCCGTCCTCATTGTCAGCAGCCAGCGCAGAGTTCCAATACTGATGGTACCGGTTACAATCTGGTTAAAAGTCCGTCTTGTCTTTCCTCTGAGTGTAGTGGGCCAACCAGACCCTCTGGTTACAGCCAGGTGCCTCATTCTCTCCAGGCCATAATAATCTTCTTTCTCTACTGATTCCGTTGCTTGTTCCCAGAGGGCCTTGACCACATCTGATGAAGAGATTTCTGGAATGGGTCCTTCTGTTCGCTTCGTATAAAATACTTTTCAGTGCCTCTGATACTTCTGCTGTCCATATTGTGCGTGACCGACCTCTGGCTCTGTTAAAGTAAAATCTGTATAACATTGCTTTACTTACTAAAGCAAAGTAAAGGTCCCTTTTCGACGCCTTCAGGCGTAGAGGGCATATAGGGCTAGACCTATATTTTTATAGACCAATCGGCACAAGATGACTGCATCCGGTACCCACTTAAGGCTGGGTCGACCTGGGAGTCAAGGTCATTGTTGAAAAAAAAAGTACTGTTCCGCTAGGGAGCGAACCCGCGACCTTTCGCACGCGATTTAGCCGCTACGCTACAGCGACTACTTTACCTGCTAACCTACTTTAATTACATTATGACAAATTTAACATATTGTTTAAAAAAAAAAAAAAAAATCGGACACCTGCTAATATTGTGTGGTGATTTTATGTTTATCAAGGTTTGCGAACACGAACAACATCTTCGTCACTGTTAAACTGCTTTGCTGACAGGGTGTATTGATTCTTTATGTAGATAACTCCACAATTTTCCAGGATAACCGGTCTTAAAGGTTTGTTGTCTGCCCCTGTTTCTTCCAGCGCCACTGTTTGAAGTCCATTCTGTCACGTGGATAATGAAATTGGCACAAAGTTAAATATAGGTAATGTTTTTAAGTAGTAGTAGTGGTGGTGGTAGAGGTGATAGTAGTGGTGGTGGGGATGGTGGTGGTTGTAGTGGTGGTGGTGGTTGTAGTGAGGGTTGTGGTTGTAGTGGTATCGGTGAGGGAATTACTAGCATTACTTCTACTACTTTTAGTGGTTGTGGTGGTGCTGGTGGTGGTAGTAGTAGCAGAAAGAAAGTATCCTTCTATCTTCTTATTTCTTAATACGAGTATCAATCAATTCATTGTCTGTTTGTATATTATATATATATATATGTCTCCAAATGCTGTTACGCCGAGGGCGGGGCTGAGGATAAGCTCTCAGTCTCCATGAAATACTCTCAAGGCATGCGTCTCTCAAAGCCACTGACAGCAAAAGTCCAACTCCTGGCCTTCTCGTAGCGGAGATGTTTAAACTAACAGGAAAAGGAGCGAAAGCGGGTCTCTGGCGCTGTAACCAGACTCTTCAGATAGATGAGGCTCGTCAGTACGGGAGTGCAGCTCATCTAGGAGAAGGAAAACTCTGATTTCAAACCACGGGCAGATGAGGCTCGCCAGCACGGGAGTGCAGCTCATCTAGGAGAAGGTAAACTCTGACTACACACCTCCGCTGCCTTGTGGCCATACCCATTTTCGGGAAAGCGCTTCGGGAGTAAACCCTGAGGAAAAATCCGGAGCTGGAATCCCTAAGGCGGTTTAGCATTGTATACAGTGCTATTCCGGCAATTCCTGCAACGTCCTCGGTGCCAAGTTGTACTGGTTTCTGCCTGTCCCTTGGTATCACCGGCGACGTAGAGAGGGGGTACTTGCTGCCTGGGCAACAGTCTGTACTCCAAATCAAAACGCCCTGGCCTGTGCCCTGGAGAGGTCACTCCAGCGATGCTAAACAGTTTCGACACAACACGGGAAACAGCAGTCACCGGTTATAAGCCTTTGCTCAATTGGCGTAGAGCTAGGCACCAGGGGTTGTTTCCGACGGTGGGAGAGACCATCGTAGTCTCATTGGACAGCTACCGCCCGCCTCAGCTGGGCAGCCCCCAGTCAGTAAGGTGTTGTCCCGCCACGATCCGTTTGCCTTGTTGGGTGCACAGGGCTTAGGGGATAACCCGACATACGGACTGTAATCCTTGTACCTACACAAAGAAGCCAAAAAATCAGATTCCCAGCTCTAAAGCTGGGCACATGGAACGTGAGGACCATGACACCTTGTATTCTGGACGATCTGCAGCATATGAGCGATGTAAGGAAAACTGCAGTCATTAACAATGAACTGTCCCGTTTGAATGTAGACATTGTTGCCCTACAGGAAACCCGGCTCTCCTCCTCGGGTAACATCAAAGAGAAGGACTTCACATTCTTCTGGCAGGGAAAACCATCTTCGGAGTCCATGGAACGAGGCGTAGGCTTTGCGATTAGGAACCGATTGCTTGGAACTGCCACACCACCTACAGGAGGATCAGAAAGGATCCTTAAAATTCAGGTCCAGACAAGAGCTAGACCAGTCACTCTGATAAGTGCCTATGCACCAACCCTGCCCTCTTCTCCCGACTCCAAGGACAAATTTTACGAGGAACTCAGTTCCACACTCGGCGAAGTCCCGGACAGGGAAGCCCTATTCATTTTGGGTGACTTTAATGCAAGAGTGGGCGCTGAGCACAGCTCATGGACATCCTGTATAGGACATTTTGGAGTAGGAAAAATTAATGAAAATGGACAGAGGCTACTTGAGCTATGCTGTCTTCACAACCTCTGCATTAAATACCTTTTTTTTATCTGAAGCCCCAGCACAAGGTCTCTTGGAGACATCCCAGATGTAAGCACTGGCACCAGCTTGACATCATCCTCACTAAACGCAGTCACCTTCATCTTGTTAAGGTCATTCGCAGCTATCACAGTGCAGATTGTGACACAGATCACTCCCTTGTGTGCAGCAAAGTGAAGTTAATCCCAAGCAGAATACATCGGGCAAAGAGGCCAGGACGGCCCCGCATTGACACAGGAGAAAGTCGTAATCCTGGAAAAGTAGGAGAATTTATAAAAATCCTGAGCACAGCTCTGCCCGGCCCACCAAACGCGGATGCTAGTGACAGATGGAAACATCTAAAACACGCCCTATATGATTCTGCCATGTCCGTGTTCGGTAAGAGGCAAGTTAAATCACTGGACTGAGGAACACAAGGAAGAAATGTTGCCAATAATAGAGGAGAAGAACAAGGCTTTATTGGGATATAAAATCCAGCCGAATATCAGAAATCTGCAAGTGCTCAGGTCCATTCGGTCTAGAGTCCAGAAAACTGCACGGCGCTGCGCTAATGATTACTGGATCAAACTTTGTGAGAGGATACAAACCTCAGCAGCTACTGGCAACATAAGGGAAATGTATGCTGGCATCAAGAAGGCTATTGGGCCAGAAAAAAGAAAGATTGCCCCTCTCAAATCAACCACTGGCGAAATCATAAAGGATCGGACAAAGCAGCTGGACCGATGGGTGGAGCACTACTCAGAGCTATATGCTACAAGCACCTTTGTATGTGAAGAGGCCTTAAATGCAATGGAGTGTCCGCCAACCATGGGTGAACTAGACATGGAACCCTCCGTCACAGAAATCGGTGAGGCAGTAGATGGGCTTCCTTCAGGGAAGGCCCCAGGAGAGGATGGTATCCCACCTGAGATCCTAAAATGCTCCTGAGCTACACAAGATCCTCTGTCAGTGTTGGCAAGAAAAATCGGTGCCACGGGATATGAGAGATGCCAACATTATAACTCTCTATAAAAATAAGGGAGATAGAAGCGACTGCAACAACTATCGCGGTATCTCTCTATTGAATTATGTGGGAAAAGTGTTTGCTCGTGTTATCCTAAAGAGGTTGCAAATTCTAACGGACAGAGTATACCCGGAATCACAGTGCGGGTTTAGGGCCCAGAGATCAACAATTGATATGATCTTCTCCATCAGGCAGCTTCAAGAGAAGTGCAGAGAGCAACAGAGGCCACTGCTCATTGCTTTCATAGATCTCACTAAGGCCTTTGACTTTGTCAGCAGAGATGGTCTGTTCGGGATCCTTGAAAAATATGGATGCCCACCTATACTGCTGAGCCTAGTCAAATCCTTTCATGAGAATATGAGGGGGACCATAATATATGAGGATTCATCATCTCGACCCTTCCAGATTCGAAATGGAGTAAAGCAATGATGTGTTCTGGTTCCCACGCTGTTTGGCATCTTTTTTACCGCATTATTGAGGAGTGCATTTGGGACAGCAACTGAGGAAATATACCTCCGTTCGAGGTCAGATGGCAATCTTTTTAATCTGTCCAGGCTACGTGCAAGGACGAAGGTGCACACGAGATGCCTCAGGGATTTTCTGTTTCCGGATGATGCAGCCATTGTGGCACATTCAGAGGATGATCTGCAGATCCTGATGAATCGCTTTGCAAATGCTTGCAAAGAATTTGGGCTTACCATCAGTCTGAACAAAACACAAGTGATGGGATTGAATGTTGGAAATCCACCAAACATTAGTGTGTATGACCATCAGCTGCTGGCTGTAAATGAGTTTGAGTACCTAGGCTCACGTATCTCAGGCAATCATTCTCTGGATGCAGAACTAAACAAACGTATAGGAAAGTCCTCTGCTATGTTTGCAAATCTCACAAAGAGAGTCTGGTCAAACACAAAGCTAACTGATAATACAAAAATGAAGGTTTATGAGTCTTGTGTCCTGAGCACATTACTGTACGGCTGCGAATCCTGGACTCTCTATGCTCCACAGGAAAAAAGACTGAATACCTTCCATGTGCGCTGTCTGAGACGCATCCTTGGTATATTATGGCGAGACCTTGTCTCCAACGAATGTGTGCTCACAAGAGCAAAAATACCATCAATGTATTGTATACTTAAGCAAAGACGTCTGCGCTGGCTGGGACATGTCTCCCGCATGGAGGATGGTCGCATTCCAAAAGATCTCCTATATGGTGAATTGGTAGCTGGGAATAGACCTACAGGAAGGCCAAAGTTGCGTTATAAAGATGTATGCAAACGTGACCTAATAGATACCAACATAGGCACAGAGACATGGGAAAAATCAGTTGCAGATCGACTACTATGGAGACAGAAAGTGAAAGACGGACTGTCACATTTTGAAAGAAACCGAACACAACGAGCTGTGGAAAGGAGACACCGGGGAGTAAAACTGCCTCACAACGAGGGAGTATCTGCTTTTGTGTGTATCCTGTGTGGCAAAGGCTGCCATTCCCGCATCGGACTTTACAGTCACAGCAGATGCTGTTCCCAAAGCCAGCGGCACATCTCCATAGTCTCCCGGGACTGGCGGATGCCATTACTATATATATATATATATATATATATATATATATATATATATATATATGGGACTGAGCCTCGAGAGGCAGGGGGTAAGAAGTGTTGGTGTTGTGGGTAGTGGGTTCCCCCCCTTACTTCACCCTAGGTCTAGTGAATATCTGTTCACGAAAGGAGCGTCCATTGTGGTGTCAGCCTCTTGACCTAGCAAAACCTCTCTTACCTCAAGACCATTGTGCGTGGCGAAGAGTCACAGCCTCCCCGAGGTAGTCCCGGTAACTGGGGGTGCGAATCCCCAGGCAAAACACAATGGATCTAGAGGAGCAAACCTCGATAATAAACCCGGTGCACCACACCGTACTGCCCCCTGTGGGAGGGAAGGAGCCAGAGGTGTGCTGAACAGTCTTAGGAATGGAAACAAGTATGCTAACCCCCCTGAATACCCGAAACTATCGTGAAGGCACAGGGACTCAGGACGTGACGATCCAGTTGCCCCAACTACTCATGCTTAGGCCATGCTTAGAGACATGAAGAGCTCAGCGAAACCTGCAGGCAATCTGGTGGCGGGGAATGAGCACACTGTGAGCCCCACCTTAGCTACGTGTTAAAGGGAAAGGCAGAAACACAACCCATATTTC